TCATGTGTAGGCTACACCCATGATTGTTTGTTTATGTATTTACTTATTATTGAACATGCAGGTATTTTAATTCTTAGAGGCGTGTTAGTTAAATTAAAATAAATAAACACAAATAAATAGAATGAAGAAAATATCACATCTGTATAATAAAAAAGGTATACCTGAAAGAAAATTACGCATTTTTTTAGGCCCATAGTGTTCAATGGCTGACTGTAGTATGTGATTTCATATAATAATGTAAATGTAAACTCATTACTTGTCTGAATTTCAACTTTATAATGGAATCATAAGCTACTAGTCATAAAAAGAATTAGGGTCCTTGACCAATTAGAATGAAACGAATCCAAACTGGATAAAGGGGCCTCAATATTTTGCCCCTTACAAGACAGTCATAAAAGTGAGAAAAACAATCTACAGCAATTAATCCCATGCGTTAGCTCTTTATCTTTCCATTCTTCCTTCTGTGTGACTGACGCAGCAGTATCTCCTTTTGACAGATTTATTCCCGATCAAATTAAGGTCTACTGTACAGTACAGATGTCAGTTAAAGGGTTAAGTTACGTTTTAGGTGGGATATTATGAAAGCAAAAAAGCACTAAACAAGGCCAATAACCTTGATTTATTAACCTATTAACACAGTATTCCCCATGATATGTACTTACAAGTCATTTGCCCACCAGCAACTATAGCTGCAGCTTGGACTTTTGACTAAGTATACAAAAAACTATAGATCTCCTTTAAGATTTGTTTTGTTTGGATGATTCTACAGACCTTCATGATTATGTAGATGTTAACAAAAAATACCTATTAATAACATGAACATTACACTTTTTTTGGGAGGGTTTGCCTTCGCCGTGCTTCCTGGAAGCAGGAATTTGACAGCATCATGTGACCAGAAGGAAGTGAAGACATTTTTTTTTTTTTCTTTAAATCCTTTATTTGGTTGTTTTCTCGTGTATGTAAAATATATATATATATATATATATATATATATATATGTCACTAAGAATATAACTAACTAAAACTAAAGCGCTCTCCAATAGATAACAT